ACACCAACAGGTTTGCTTGGGACAACGCAGATCGTGTTTGGAAGTGCAACCAGTGACGTCACTGTTTCGGGGAGCTGTTCGATCACCCTTGTCAGCCAGTGGGGAAACCTGCCTGCGCTAGACGGGCTGACGGACCTGACAGGTGCCGACATTGGTGGCACGATTTGCCCCCCATCTAACCAACCGCACGGTAGCGGGCACAAATGCTTCTCGCACTGCTGCCATGGTGCCTGGTGCGCGCCCGACGGTGGAGTGACCATGTGTGACCAAACATTGGGGAAAGTGGCAAGGAAAGACATCGTCGCCGACACCATCACCTTCACCCCGGGTTCGTGGATCACGGCGTACATTGGACCCATTGCAGGCGGCGCAGGAGGCGGCGCGGGAGGAGGTTCTGCAGGAGGAGCTGCCGCCGTCGGCGACCCCCACCTGCAGAACATTCACGGCGAGCGGTTTGACCTGATGAAGGAGGGCAGGCACGTCCTCATAAGCATCCCTCGCGGGGAGGGCGCCGAGCAGGCCCTGCTTCGCGTGCAGGCCGACGCGCGCCGCCTGGGCGGCCAGTGCGCGGACATGTATTTCCAAGAGCTGAACGTTACGGGGTCCTGGGCAGAGGCAAAACAGGCTGGCGGGTATCACTACAGCGTCTTGCAGAGCGCCGTGGAGGCTCCACAATGGATTGCTTTCGGTAAGGTTGAGCTGAAAGTCGTCCACGGACGCACGGACAGTGGCCTCCGCTATCTGAACGTGTACGTGAAGCGCTTGGCGCGCGCAGGATTTGCTGTCGGAGGTCTACTGGGAGAGGACGACCATGAGGACGTAACCACCCCTGGGGAGTCATGTGCCAAGCGGATGTCCCTTTGAGGACGCGGAAGGGGGCTTCAAATCTCTCTCAGCACTGCTCTTAGTCGCAGAGGCAAGCCTCACGTGACCGTGCTTGTGCTGTCGGAGGTGGGTGCGCGTGTGCGCCCCAACGCTTGATTTTGGCCACCATGCCAGGTGGCGCTCAAACGTTATATGCTCTCTGTTCGTCGGGCCGAGCTGCATGCAACTGGCGTGCAACCCTGCTCGTGCCCCGCGACGACCTCCGCCGCGTGGCGGCCTTTGGCGGCCTCGACTTGTTTCGTCTCCCCTCGACGGCCCTCACCGGCCAGGGGGCCTCGGCGGATCTTCTGCTTCCGTTCATGAAGAGACGGCGCGAGGAAGGGCTCGGCAGCAGGACCTGGGACCCATCCTGCCGAAAGGATGCGGTGGAGGAGGACCAGAGCAGACAGGATTCAGGGAGAAGGGAGGATGGAGTCTGGCCAAATCCTCGGGTCCTCCGCCGGCGCCTATCTGGACCACGCACAAGTTGTAGTTTGGGCACTTCTTGTCGGCAGCCTACGTTCTCACAGCCAGTGGGCGCCCCGCGCCAGCGGAATAACTTCGAGCGCTGGTTCCAGCAGCGGCCACTGTCTATCGGCGGTTCCGTCGGTTGGGTAGGCCATCCCGGACTGCGGGGCCAGCTTGTGCTCGCATCCTCCTCTCTTCTCCCCGTCCTCTGTTTGGGGCCGCGAGCGTTTCAACCCGCTCGCGTGAGCCGGCCAAGACCGGCTCGAGCCCTCGTTTCTGTGCGCTCGAATCTGGAAAAGGAATCGGTCAGGCGTCGCAAACGGTTTGAATGCCCACTGCCAGGAATTGTGAATTGGTATTTCTCTATCGTTCGTCTTGTGGCCGCAGATCCGCACACCTGGATCTCCGGAGCGAACGCCGGCGGAAGCCTGCGGAAGACGGCGGAAGGCCTCCCCATTTCGGCAGACACGCTTCCGTGCGGCACGGGCGGCCCCAAGATGGTCGGCAAGATGGTCCGAGAGGGCCACGAGTCGCCATCACGTCGATCCAGGCCGTCCAAGATCGCGTCCGGATGGCCCAGGGAGCTTCCAGGACGCTTCGGGAGGCTTCCGAGAGGCCCTCCCAGAGAGCCCCACGTGTCAATTTGTTTTGTATTTTTTTAGTTTTTGAAGGTTTTTCGGGTTTCCGCGTCTTCGGCTTGCCGACGCACCAAGGCAGCCCAAGAGGGCCCCCAAGCCGCCCCAAGACGGCCTCAGAGGCCCCCAAGAAGGCGCCCAGACAGTCCAAGACGCCCTCATGACGGCCCAAGAGGCCCCCAAGACGGCCTCCGAAGGCTCCAGGAACGGCCCCAAAAAGACTTCCAGAGTAGAGGCAGCAACGGGCATTTCAAGCTCACCGCCCAAAAAGACCCCCCGGAAGCCCCACACGGCCTCCAGGAGGCCCCAAACATCGCGCCCAGACGGCCCAGGGAGCTCCCAGGACGCCCCGGGAGGCCTCCGAGAGGCCCTCCAAGAGAGACCCAAGTGTCAAAATGTATTGGTTTTCGTTTGGGTTTTTTTAAAGTTTCTCGGATTTCCACGTTTTCGGTTTGCCGACGCTCCAAAACAGCCCAAGAGGGCCCAACGACCGCCCCAAGACGGCCTAAGAGGCTTCCAAGAGAGCGCTCAGACAGTCCAACACGCTCTCAAGACGGCCCAAGACGCCTCCAAGACGGCCTCCGAAGGCTCCAGGAACGCCCCCCAGAAAACTGCCAGAAGAAGGGCAGGAACTTACATCTCAAGCTCACCGCACACAAAGACCCCCCGAAGGCCCCGCAAGGCCCCCATAAGGCCCCCAACAGTGCGTCCAGACGGCCCTCTGCGCTCCTAGGACGCCTCGGGAGGCCTCCGAGAGGCTCTCCCAGAGAGCCCATTGGTTTTCGCCGGTTTTCTAAATGCCTTTCGGGTTTCGGTGCCCTCGGCTCCCGACACTCCGGCACGGCGCAAGAGGCCCCAAAGACCGCCCCGAGACGGCCTCGAGAGGCCCCCGAAGAGAGCGCCCAGACCAGTCCAACACAACACGCTCCAAATCGAGCCCGCTCTTCGTGTGCATTTCCCCTTCGGCGAGGACCCTCGAGGAGCATCCTCGATCATCTCGCGAAGAAGCCACGCACGAAACCGAAAAAAACACAGGGAATGGACGTCCGAGCGATGGCCAGTCGGTTGGCGCCCTGCCAGAGCACGGGTGCCCGTTGGCCGACATCTCGCCGGGCCCACTTTCATACAGTCGGTTCCAAAGACCGCCCCAAGGCGGCCTGAGAGGCCCCCGAAGAGAGCGCCCAGACCAGTCCAGCACGCTCCCAATCGAGCCCGCTCTTCAGCTGGCGCCCTGCCAGAGCACGGGTGCCCGCTGGCCGACCTCTCGCCGGGGGCCCACTTGTCATACCGTCGGGGGGGTGCCGTGGTCGGCGTTTGGGGGGGGGGAAGTCGCCGGTGTCTCCCCTTGGCATCGCTCGGGCGTGTGCACTTTTCCGTCGGCGAGGACCATCGAGGAGCATCTCTCCCAGAAGCCCCCGAGAGACCAGCCACGATTAATCATATTTCTTCGTCGGACGTCTTCCCCGTCGTCTAATCAAGCCCACAACAGGCCACTCCTTCCTGGTCCCTGCCGCTCTCACCAATCATCCCCACCTCATTTTACAGGTCGGGGTTCGTGGCAATATCAGGTTCCTTCGGCGAGGACCATCGAGGAGCATCCTCGATCATCTGGCGAAAAGCCCACGCACGAAACCGAACAAAAACACAGGGAATGGACGCCCGAGCGATGGCCGGTCCCAGATCTGAGGGTTTCGAGGGGCCCCGGGCCCTCGCGTGCCCCGTTGTCTCCCCTTCGCCGTCGGCGTCGAAAAGTGATTCTTGCAGCGCGCGCGTCGATCCTTTCATGGGTGCGCGCGCGAGCTGGCTGACCAGGGGGCCTGGCACTGACACGTTGACGATGCGGATGGGCGCAGGAAAGGACGGCACTAGCAAGTACGTTTTGAGATTCCATCAGCGCTGCTGTGCCAGCCTTGTTGTGATGAGTCCCATTCGTCGCGTTCTTTTCATTCACACATGCATTATCTGAAGCCTTCACATCGCGCGACATGCCGCACCGATGATTCTTTCCCGACCTGGAGGAGGGGCTCCCGTTTAGTATTCCCCTGGGGGGTCTGGGGTGGGACCCCCCGGCCCCCCCCCGGTTCCAGACCCCCTCGCGTTGTAAAAAAATCACGACGGAAGGTTTTTCGCTATTTTCGGTTTCTGGGGGCCCCTACCGGGCCTCGGGACCGTCAAACAAGGACGGAGGATGAAAAACTCGTCCCAGGGAAGGGGTCCAGACCTTTGAGGGTCGACGTTGTGAAGAAAACACGACGTCGGGGGTCTGGGGTCACGGGCGGAACGCCAGCGGAAGCTGGCGGAAGACGGCCCCATTTCTGCAGACGCGCTTCCGAAAGGCACGGGCGGCCCCAAGACGGTCCGCAAGATGGCCCGAGAGAGCCACGAGTCGCCAACAGGTCGATCCAGACTGTTCAAGATGGCCTCCAGACGGCCCAGGAAGCCCCCAAGACGCCCCGTGAGGCCTGCAAGAGGCCCCAAAAGAGAGCCCCACGAGTCAAAATGTCATAGGTTTTACCTAGGTGTTTGAAGGCTTTTCACGTTTTCGCCTTATCGGCCTCCCGACGCTCCAAGACCCAAAGATCGCCCCGAAACGGCTCAAGAGGCCTCCATGAGGGCGCCCAGGCGGCCCAAGACGCACCCAAGGCGGCCCAAGAGGCTTCCAAGACGACCTAAGAAGGCCCCAGGACCTGGAACGCGGCCCCAGAGAGGGGGATGGGACCGACATGTTGGGCTCTCCGCCCAAAGAACTCCCCAGGAGGTTCCAAGAGGCCTCCAACAGGCCGCAAGCAGCCTTTTCGTAGCTATTTTTGCTCAAGCCATTTTGGCTCACGGCATTCTCGGATCAAGTTTGCCGCCTAAGGCAAACGCAGACAACGACACACACACACACACACACACACGCACACACACCTTGATACCTTCAGACCTCATTTCGTACAAGTTCGGATCGGGCTGATGAGCATGCCAGTGAAACTCGCCACCGCGTTTTTGGCAGTCTGAGGGACAAACGGGAACGACTTCGACTCCTGCTTGATGCAGATGGTTGCAAGCCCGACTCAGGCTACAACCGTCGAGCGGCCACTCGCGGATACTTATGTTCAGTCCTGCCAGTCAAGGAATTTTGGTACCCAGCAGGTTTTGGTCAACAAGCGCTACACCGACGGCTGGTGTGGCACTCGATCTTCGCAACTGCAATTCAGCGTTCCTTGCGATGCTCAGGATGCAACGCTCCTGCTGTGGCTGATTACCTATTCTGCTGGTACCTTTCCAAAGGTGGCCGACATTCAGGTACAGGGCGAGTGGTCGGAAAACGCCACTATGTGGTCCAGCCTGCCCAGCTAACAGGAGCATGTTTGCGATTATCAGGACTCCCCCTGCCCACTCGGGCAGGCGTTTGCATGCACCGTTCCGCAGGCGAAACTCGCCGGTAAGAACCCCATCTCGCTTGCGTTAGTTGCAGAATGGTTGTGGGCGGGGGCCTCTGCTTGTGGGTCTCGCGAAGCCCTCGACGCGAGCACCAGATCGTCACTGGTGTTCCAGTGTCTTCATGCAGCACCCACGATGGCTCCGACGAGCAGCCCGACCTCGTCCCCGACGCCCAGTCCGACGAGCAGCCCGACAAGCAGCCCGACCTCCAGTTCGACCGCGTCCCCGACGTCCAGGCCGACGAGCAGCCCGACCTCTGGTCCTTCCTCGCCCCCGACGCCCAGCCCCACGCCTTCGCTGACTGCGGCCCCGACGAGCAGCCCGACAAGCAGCCCGACCTCCAGTCCCACCGCGTCCCCGACGTCGGTCCGACGAGCAGCCCGACCTCTGGTCCGTCCTCGTTTTTCCCAGGGAGTGTGGCGACGAGTTCGGCCTTTGGCGATTCCCATATGAAGGATGTATTTGGCGAGCGTTTTGATTTGATGGCGCCAGGCAACCATGTTCTCATCAACATCCCTCGTGGAGAGCGCGCTGAAAAAAAAAATCTGCTTCGCGTGCAGGCCGATGCACGCCGATTGGGTAAACAGTGCACGGTTCCGTGTTTCCAAGACTTGAACGTGACCGGGTCTTGGGCAGAGGCAAAACAAGCCGGAGATTTGTTCGTCACAGCGCATCGCAGAGCGATGTCGAGGTTCCTAAGTGGGTTAGTTTTGATAAGATAAGGTTGAAGGTCGTTCGTGGGCATACGGACGGCGGCACGTCGTACTTGAACGTGTACGTCAATCATTTAGGTCGAGCTGAGCTTGTTGTCGGAGGTCTTCTAGGCGAGGACGACCACAGCGACGCGAGCACGCTGGCGGCTGTGTGCGTGGAGCTTGTGAATCTACAGGATCTGCGCATGCTTCGGAATAGCAGTGGCTCCCGACCGGTCTCGACTGCAGAGGCAACATACGCTGAAGCTTATTTTCCAGTAGGTGTTCTTGTTGTTTCAGTGGTGCAGTAATTTATAAAAAGCGAGTCACACCCATCATTTGTTGTCCTCTCCTGTTGTCTCCCTCCCTTCTCTTGTTTCTTCCGCTGCGGCTTGTCAGGACTCTGTAGTATGTTCCGACACTGTGCCAGTTTGGTGTTGCCGAGTGCCAGGTTGTACAAAAGGGTTGTTCGGATCATGGGGGCATGCGCTCACAACGCTTTAATAATCTATCCCTTCTCTATTCCTCCTCCTCCTCTTCCTGGTTTAGGCTGCATTGCCTCGCACTGTCCTTCTCGTTCGTGGCCGTCCCAGCCGTTCCGAGTGTCCCGTCGCACGGCCTTTTGTTCGGACAAAGAGTCGCAGGGATGATGGTTCTGCCGGCGACCGTTGCCTTGGGAACTCAGCGGGCCTTCTAGAGGTCCCTGTGGGTGGATTTTTTAAGATATCAGCAGGGGGTCTTACTGACTTGAACTTTTCATCGCAGGACACTGTTGCACGTGAGAAAAAGAGAGGCCGCAAGAGCCTCCAAGAGGTTTCCAGGAAACTCCCAGAGGCCCCCAAGAGGGCCCCAAAACTGTCTTAGAGGGCCCCGAGATGGTCGGAGACGCCCCAGGGCCCGAACATTGCCCAACAGGGCTCCAAGATGGTCGTAGACGCCCCGACAAAGCGGCACAGCATCAAACGGACAACACGGCAACCTTCATAATGTGCCTAAAATGCGGCACAGCGTCACACGGACAACACGTGAATCAGCATTATGCGCCTTGCCGGCGTCCTCTTCTTTCGTCGTTTTTCTCTTCCTCGCAAGTCACGCCCACTTGTCCTCCAAGGTCGGGGTTCGTGGCAATATCAGGTTTCAGAATTGGTCTCTACTTTCGGGTCCGCGGACTCGCACGCTGCCGTATCGCCTGGATGGGTTGTTTTTTCGAGGTTTTTGTCTCAACGATGTTGCCCCCTGACTCGGTCGAAAGGACTCGATTGGTCGCGCGCACCACATTCTGGCACGTCTGTTCAGCCACAAGTGGTGTTTTCGGATATTTCCTGAAGACGCCACTTGGTCTTGAGGTGAGTTTGGCGCGCGAGCAGCGGGGCGCGCGCACGTGCCCCGCCACGGTTTTGCGAGACGGATTCTCCCGACGGCACCTCTCTTAGATCAACGCATGCGCATCGCATGATCGACTTTTGCTGGAGATGGCAGGAGGGGGGTGGAGGGTTTCTCCGAAGGGCTTAGGCGACCCGTCCTCCTCCTCCTTCTTCTCCTGCTCCTCCTCCTTCTCCTACTCCTCCACCTCCTCCTCCACGTCCTCCATGCCCTGACCCCCCATGCTGGGGCCTTGGCTGGCCCCTCATGCGTTGACCCCCTCATGCTGGGGCATTGGCCCTTCATGCGTTGAACCCTCATGCCGGGGCTTCGGCCTTTCATGCTTTGACCCCCTCATGCTGGGGCCTTGGCTGGCCCTTCATGCGTTGACTCCCTCATGCTGGGGCATTGCCCCTTCATGCGTTGACCCCTCATGCCGGGGCTTCGACCCCCCATGCCCTGACCCCCCATGCTGGGGCATTGCCCCTTCATGCGTTGACCCCTCATGCCGGGGCTTCGGCCCCTCTTGCCCTGACCCCCTCATTCTGGGGCATTGGCCCCTCATGCGTTGACCCCCTCATGCTGGGGCATTGGCCCTTCATGCGTTGACCCCTCATGCGGTGGTTTAGCATGCCACCATTGCTAGGGCACGAAGCGGTAAAACCTTACCCGTGCCTTAAACGACAGCCGAGACAATCCTCCACCTCCTCCATCTCCTCCTCCCCCTCCCCCTCCTCCACCTCCTCCGCCTCGGGTCACCTACGGCCCCGGAGGAGACCGTACAGACGCATGCGAATCGCACGGTAGATTTTTGCTGGAGATGGCGGGATGGGGGGGGTCGACATGGATGCAGCTAGGATGACAGTGTTTTTTTATTGAATCGCTTCGCTCATTCAGAGGGCCCATATTGCTTCGCCGCTGTCGTTTGTCGGGGTGTTGTTGTCAATGCGGTGCGGTTGGGCGGCTGCCATTTTTCGGAAGCGGTGGGTGGCGGGTCAGAGGCCTCACGGATGTTGGTTGGGATCTTGTGGTTGGCCTTTCAGAGGCATTTGGGGGGCAGTTTTGAGGCCTCTTGGGGGCCGTGTTAACTTTGGCTGGAGATGGCGAGAAGGAGAGGTGGGGGGTCGATATAGATGCAGCCAGGATGACGGTGTTTCTTATACATTCAGGATGAGCGATGGTGCAGGACAAAAGCTACAAACAAGAACAGCACGCGGGGGAGGAGGAGTAGGAGGGGGACGCACAGGAGGAGGAGGAGGAGGAGGAGGAGGAGGAGGAGGAGGACGGGGAGGAGAGGGAGGAGGAGGAGGAGGAGGAGGAGGAGGAGGAGGAGGAGGCCTCGGCGGTGGGGTAGAGTCCGATTCCCCAAGCAGTGCTCACGCTCAGGGTTTCCGTGCTCGCCTTCCAGGGCAGAGCTGGGCCCGGGTGCCGGCGACGGGCGCTCCGTGGCCGGCCCGCCGCCGCCGCCCGTCGCCGCCGGCAACCGGGCCTGGGCGGCGGCCAGGGCGGCGTGTCGCCGCCTGCCGCCGCCCGTCGCCGCCGCCCGCCGCCGCGCATCGCGTTGCAGGGCGCTGCGGGGCGTTGCATCGAATGGCGCACTGCGCGTGGCGTTGCAGCGCAATGCCTTGTCCTGCTCTGCGGTGCTTCTTGCCTTGCGCATGGCGCTGCGGTGCGGTGCTTTTGCAGCCACGTCGACTGCACCACATTGGCTGCACCACCCCGGTTGCGCCGCACAGAGTGCAAGAAACCATCGTCTGGGGCCCACGCTGGCGAACGTGTCTTGTAGGAGAGGGAATCGATGTGGGGCGTTCCAAGAAAGGCCTTGCCTTCGAGGATCGAAGGAACTGTCATCTCTTCTGCCGCGGAAGGCGGCAAAAGGGCGGCGGAAGGTCGGTGGAGGTAATACGGGGCCGCCTCCGCCGGCGGAAGGCCGTCGGAAGGCGGCTGAAGTAAAAGATGCGCCCCCAAGAGATGAGAATGGCCCAACCTGTCGGGCGGGGAAAAGGCTGCCGTCGGCCAGGCGGTCTGGGAGGGGAGAGAGAGAGAGAGAGACAGACAGACAGACAGGCAGGCAGACAGACAAACAGACAGAGAGACAGACAGACAGACAGACAGAAAGAGACAGAAAGAGACAGATAGACAGACAGACAGACAGACAGACAGACAGACAGAGACAGACAGACAGACAGAGACAGACAGACAGACAGAGACAGACAGACAGACAGAGACAGACAGACAGACAGGAAGGCGAGGAATGTGTAGACGCAGAAAAAACGCATATGTAAACGTAAACCGTCGGCGGTCTGCGCGGGTTTCTTGGGTCGGCGCTGGGCCCTTCGACAGCGTTGGGCTCAGTGTTTCCGAAATCCCGAGCCCGTGAAAGACGGTTCGAGAGAACCTCGGAGGGATTACAAGAGATTCCAGGATAGCACGGCAAAAGATTGCACCCGGATGTGCCCAAAAAGCAGGCTTTACGATGGACGGGGGATTGGAGAGCGCGAAGTCTTCGTATTACAGGAGGAGCGGATCCATTGTTCTAGGCCTCCTAGATGGGGTCCGAGTAGATGGGGTCGAAATATCGCTCCGCATCGCCGATGCATCGCCGATGCGGCTCGATGTGGAGCCCGATTTGCTTCACGTCAACGTCGCCGACATATCGCCGACGTCGACGATGCATCGCCGATGCATCGCTAATACATCGCCGATACATCGCCGATGTATCGGCGATGCGGCGCGATCTTCCGACCCCATCTAGTCGGACCCCATCTAGGAGGCCTCTGATTGTCGAATTGAAAGCTGCGGCGGTCGGATCCCAGAGCCAGGTGTCGTCCTCGTGGTTCGTACTCTGCGGATGCAGACGTCGTGACGCGAGCCGCAGAGGGCGAAGATTCCTGTGCGAGACGGCAGGCATTCTAAGCCATTGGCTCTGGCTCATTGGCTTTTGTTCCTCTTCCTTCTCTCCCCCTCGTCGTCCTCCTCCTCCTCTCCCGCCCCCCCCCCGCGTTGTTTTCACCACAGTCGTTGCTTTCGCTTTTGGTTGATGTCACGGCAAAAGACCCCCCGCACGTGCTCGTCTGGCTTTTCGGTTGTACTGCACAGGATTTTTCCTTTAGCCATTATGTTCTGAATGCCGCCTGCCCTTTGGGGGACCGCTCCTCTGGGAGCTTGCATGTAGGCCCCTCGCCCATGGAAGACGAACAGGCAAGAGGATCTCATTCAGATGGACGATGCACTAGCTTCAGTCTCATGGAGGACGGGCAGCACAGCCCCGAGGTGTACGCCCGACGACCCTCCAGAGGAAACTGCATCGGGAAACGTGTCAGGAATGCGGCGGCCGCGGTGTTCTGCGTCATCCTCATTCTGGTGGCTCGAAAACGGGGTCCTGAGGGGGATGGAGTCCTGAGGACGAGGCGCCTCAAACAATTCAAATCCACTCTTGGATCCCGCTCCGTCCTTAGGACCCCAGGCCCCCGACGTCATGATTGGTTCATGACGTCGACCCCCAGAGGTCTCGACCTCTTCCCCCGGACCGGTTTTTTCGTCCTGAGTCGTTTTTGACAGTCCCGCGGCTTGGCGAGGGCCCCCGAGGCCGAAAATACAAACAAAAAAAAAAAAAAAAAAAAACCTCGCGTCGTGATTTTTTCCTGATTCGAGGGGGTCTCGGACCC